GTACTGATATATAAATAATACTTAGTAATATATTGAATACTGATGTATAAATTATACTTATTAATTAATGAAGCTTTCTTGATTAGTTTTAATTTGCATGCTTGATACATTTTTTATGTTTGATAATACTGAAAGCAAGGAGAATGAGTAAAAAATAAAAGCGTATAAAATTGAATATAAAATTTTCAAAATCAAAATCAAAAAGCAGTAATAAAAGTAAATTCTTGAAATGTAAAAGTAATACTGAATGCGAAATGAATTCACAAACTATGCAAGTGCTACTACGCAGATCACTTCTCGAAATCACTGCTGCACAAAGTGAAGTTCAGCGCCTCTCATCCCAAGTTACACAAATATCGAGTAAGACTAAACTACACTATGCTAATCTATCATTGCTCTCAAAAAACAAAAACAAATTTGAAGATATGAAGAAAATTAAAAATAATGTTCGAAATATAAGATTCCAAATGTCAATACGAGTAGTGGTAGTAGTGAATTACTGAGCAATACATTCTACCAATAGATACAAATATTTTTTAGTGTACATAAACTTACTTTTTCAAAAATTTCCTGCCCTTTTCATATTTTTTGGATGTTATAAATGCCTTTTTTGAGCACTTTTTTCAATTTATTGCCTCAAAATGTAAAGAATTTTTGCATTTGTAAAAAAGTTTATCTCCACTAATATACGACTTCTGATATCATTCGTTCTTTTTGCTGAACATTTGCTTTACTTTATTCAAAAATGATTTTATTTCTAAGCATAAAAGTTGTAAGTAAGTTAAGAACACTTTATTAGTAAACTTTAATATGCAATTTTTATAAGTGAAAAAATTTTTCTTTTTCATTAATCGTTCATTTTTATTCTATACCAATCATATTATTTACGTTGATGATATATCAACGAGAATTAAAGACAATACATAATGCATTAAGATTAATTACATTATTCTCTATCAGTCACTGACTTTGTTTCATGTAATTCACTGATAAAATGGTGATTAGCTTGATCAATATTGCAGTTAGTTGTCAAATAATCATTTTATGCTATCAGTGCCATATTTCCATTTAATTATTTTGCATATCAAGTAAGTCTCTCTCTCACCTAGTACTAGAATCAGCTGAATGACGCTCAGTTGCTTCAACACGATTCACCGGTATATGTGCAGCGTAACGTTTATGTCGGGGTTGTGCTGATGCAATCGCCGCAGCGGTAAAATTAGATGTTATTGAGGTACCTAAATTCATTGAATGCAAACATTTGAATTATGGAGTTGATATTTACATTGATAAATGTGTTATCAGAGTTAGATACAATCTAAATCAGAGTGAAAATAATGGCTTTAAGCGATTAATACATAAAAGCAATGATAAGAAAAAAGCTACACCAAATAATATGCAGAAAAAAGATAGTAATTCATGCATATAAAAAATGTGTTAGTCTCAAGTAAGAACTTTTTTGAATGTGAATTGTTATAGTTTAACAAATGTTGTGCAAAATAAAATTATCGTTATGCGAAGCGATGATGGAAGTGTAATGTAAGTAATTTATCTAGCAAAAGCACCTGCTTAGAACAAGGGCAGTTAATGATGTAAGGAGATGGATATTCATTCATTCATTCAGGCCTAAAATCAACCACAATGATCAGGCTAAAAGATTCATTATTCTAAGCTGCTTCTTTTAAGGCCTTTGATAATTTGTTTACTATTTTATTACTTGCTTGCTGACTAATTTCAACAAATAATGGTTCTAGAAAATAGTAAAATTTTTGAGGTTAATTATGATCAAATGGATTCGTAAGACAAGTTATGAGCAGTACGTGGAATAACAAATCACTCGAAGTTATTTCATGAAAAAATTAGATCACCTTCAGTAGATGAACATTTGTTCAGTTCAGGAACTGCAAGATGCATCGCAACTTCTGCGCAGTTTGATGTCTTATTCTGCAAACAAGATATACAAAATGATAACAGCTGATAGAAGAATAATTTTGCAGCATTTTATCTTGGCTTTTTGCAGAAAATAGCGAGAAAATATTTTTAAAAATTTCATATATTCGCAAATGTCAAATAAAATAATAAAAACTTAATGGAATCATTAAAATGGCTTACATGCAAATGTGAACAAATGTGAAATAAATTTGTTTAAGTTGGGAAACAAGAAAAGAGATGAATAATGTATATTTTGGATCAAATAAAATGTATTATTATTATTATTATTATTATTATTAGTAGTAGTAGTGGTGTGAGATAAATAATGTCCGCTCATAATATTAATAATAATGACAGCAATAATAGTAATAGTGATAAACAAAGCGGATAAAAGTTGGATGGATTAACGCAAAAGTGATCAGAAGGTAATACTGATAAAACTGCTCCTGCTCTTATCACACAATTAATATTGGCAATTGTTGGACTTTTCGACAATATGCAGCACTATAATCACAGTGCATTGTTTTTTTATCAAAATTATCATTTGTATAACAAAGATATTTTCATTTTATATTGTAAAAATAATAATATAAATAAAGTTTGCGCAATGACATATAATTAATTTCCTTAGCACACAAACAAAATTAACATCCACTTTAAGCTATTCAAAAAACTAACTAACGCTTTTAATTTAATTTAATTTAATTCAATTCAATTTTTAACGCGCAAAATTTATTTGCTTATTTTTTCAATTACTTTTCTTTTCAAAAATTAATCCATCCTTGAGTATGTATAACTGTATGCAAATTTAGAAAGCTCTTCTGAAAAAAATTGAAATGAATAAGAAAGAGATTGGAAGGATAGTGGAGATCAAGTAAAGATCTGTCGTTAGCACAAAGTCTAATATTGAGAAAGTTTCAGAAGGATGAAAATTATATTTTAATGAAACATTTGAAATAGAATTATTTATAGCAACAGCATAATGATAAGATAAATTGCTTAATCGATGTAAAAATTTATGCATTAAAGATTACTGAATGAATGTGATATCAAACTTTAACTGAAGCAAAATTAGCATAAACCGGTAGCAATCAATAAACAAAGGTGCATCTGAATCAGCAAAGCAAAGCTATGAATAATTAGAACGAGTAAGCAGGTATTAGTAGATAGTAGCAAGAATTTATATGCCAATTGTAGGTAGAAGAAACCTGTTGTCTGTAAGCAATTAGCGAAGTGATGGAGCGTAAAGTTTTGTTGTTACGCTTTGGATAGTTTGGTATTTTATCACGAACGTTAAAAATTTCACGTTAAAAATTTGCTTTGTACAAAAGTTTTTTTTAATGCAAAACGTGAGGTGTGAGGTGTGAGGTGTATTATACTTCCACACTTAATACCTTAAAAAGTTAAAATGTGCTTCTATTAACAACTAAATAAATACTCTAATGACAAAAGCGCCAAAAAATCATCTCATGTCGAGAATGCAAATTTGCCAGGAATGGAAAGTAGAATAAGTAGATTATGGATAATTAAATGCACAGTTGAGCTAGTTTTCTTGAAACTAAGCATAAATATTAACTGTTTAGGTATTTCTCCTTAGAGTCCAAAATATCATTCACTCATCGTGACAAGACTCTATATCAAACAGGATTAGACTAAATTTGTTCCATAGTAAGCAGGCAAGTAATTAATTATCTCTTTATTTTCTTGCAAGAGAAGCTTCAAGTAATATACAGCTTCTGTACTTGTTTTATGCAAATTTTTGATTCCGTGAAATACCTTTGCAGAATCCGTGCAGCATTACACCTTGACATATCACAGCAAATCATAAGGAATAATATGGGATGAAAGTCAAGAATAATTTACGAACAGCAAAGCAGTTATTGAGCGCATTTCTTACAGCAGTTTATTCACTGCACTTGTTAGTTAGTCCAACTGCAGCTCTAATTATCAATTTTAGCACTAATTTACTTCAATATCTGCATTTTTTTTCCAATAATTTCATTAATTACAAGTCAGACAAGCAATTGGTCAATTTTCACCTTCTCAGATGGTGTCTCTGTATCAGCAGCAAAAGACGCAGGCCTACGAAGTTGGAATGCCTGATTTTGTAATTTCTGTTCAAATGGGGTCATCGGTGGGTCAAATGCTAACGACGTCTTTGTCAGTGACATTGAACGTTTTGATCTACAACACACCTATTACATGTTTTCATGCACATAAACTAAGTTTTGATTCATATATTCAGTAAAAGGCTATCTTGTGATCTCTGATAAGAGTAGACAAAATGATAAGCAAATAATAAAAAACTAAATGGATTAATTAAGAGAGTGGAGCAGAAGAAATTCACCTGGCAAGAGGTGGGCTGTTAAATCCTTCGCAACTTGCGGTTAACAACTGCTCTCCGTATGATAATAGATCGAGCATTTGATCAGAAATAGCATTGAAAGTTTTTGGCTTTGAAAGTGAAACGCTGTCCACTTCTACGCTGCCTAGACGTGTACGACTGGGAGCTGTGATGTATAACTTTTCTCGAGTTGGCTCTAATACTCGAACTAAATTTCGAATTAATCATTGCGTGTCTTGTTGTACAATTTTGCAATATGATGAATTATGACTTCTCAATTTAGTTAATATTTTGTTTTAAAAAAACCTTCAGAAATTAGCATATAGATACTGATTAGGCTAGAATATCTCAAGTAAGTAAATGAGTAACAAGTAATTGAATTCATATTTTTTTATTAAAAAAGAGTGCATTGTGGATATGTGGTAATCAAAATATTCAAAGCCATTTAGTGAGTCAGCTGATTATCAGTGTCAATTTGATTATGATTTCAAGTTTGATTTCCTTGTGATAACTCAAAAAGTACTCCTCATATTAGACTTTCTTGCTTTATTAGACTCAAATATTAAAAGTTTTACTTTGGACTTATTTTGTATTTTTCATAGCATAACATACCAGAACAAGCTTTCATCAATTCAGAAGCGGTTGAAAGACACGGTGAATCACGACTTTCAGGGTCTTCTGAATTACTACGAATGTGTTCCAAAATATCACGTTTTCGTTTCACGTATTCTTCAGGTAATGAATAATTCGAAAGGATTAAATCTTCAGGTTTTGATAATTGCTATAATAAATATATATCCATTATATATTAGCTGAAATGAAAAAATAAAAATAAAAATTTTATTACACTTTAAATCTTATTATAAAAAGCAAATATATTGTGCAGATGAGAGCAATGCAACAAATAATAAATCACTTCATGAACTCTTTTTTGCTCCAATACGTTGGCAACTTCTTTTCGTATTCTTTCTTGCTACAATTTTAAATATATCAGAAACGTGAAAAGGCAAAAAAAGTATACGTAATACCAATAAAAGTTAATTACGTTTCAATGACAATATTTGCACTGAAAATTTCTTGTCTCTGTGAAAGGTTAATTAATTAGGTAATATAATTAATGATAACCTTGTAGGTATAAATGATCTATAGAGTTGTTCAAAATTCAAAGATTCAAAATTTTAAAGAAAGTATAAAATCACATTTTGTGGAATGTTCGAAGGAACAGCTGTGGCACTCGCATTGCTAAGATTTTGTTTAACCAGAAAAGTTTGTTCAGAAGTGCTTTTCAATGGTCTGAAAACTATTAATTAAGAAATTTGAATAAGTAATCATTTGGCTAATATATGTGAGAAATTATATTTATTTCATTAGCAGTGCAAATATAAAATAATTAATTTTGGATCGGAAAGAATTTTAATATCAATAAAAATAAGCAATGAAAATATCGTTTTTAAACACAATTTAATTTTTTCTTTCAAAATTTTGCAATTTTAAAAAACAAAAAAATTTCATTTACTTACGAGAAATTACGCTTGCAATGAATTGCTTGCAAATGTTTGCGCAGCCGATAGAAGTTCACGCCAATAAGTAATGATGCTAGTACTGTCACCTGAATTGATCTAGTAACAGTTTGTACACCAAAGTAAGCAAATGCCTTGTGATGATTAGTTTTCATACAAATCATAATTTTGTAAGCAAACATTTTAGTTCAGTTTTTTGTAAGTATTAAAATAATACTTGAATTTAAGAAAGATCTAATAATTATATTTCTATGGAAATCCTTGAATTATCGCGATAAACACCAGCAATAAAATAAAATGATTAATTCAGCTTTATAAGCTGAATTAATAGATGTAGATAATTTTGTAAGTGAGCAGTAACTTGACTCTTCTTTGCAAATTTAGAAGAAGATGCTTGCCTTGGCGTATAATGAACTGTGATGATTAGCTTTCTTACAGATTGAATCTTGTATGCAAACATTTTCAACACTTGGCTCTTGCACAGATAAATAGCACTGATCATCAATTTTCCTGAAAGTTACTTATATTTAAAAAAATCAGTGTGATTTGTTGTTTATTAATATGAGCAAAAAGCAGAGTATTAACTTTTTGTTAAGAATCCTGGATATATAAATTCTGAATTTTAATAACATTAAAATACAGTATTAGGCTCACTTCTTCACTTTTAAAGTAGCAGATACGAAATGAACTGGTTGAGAGCGATTCACAAATGAAAATGCAAATTTTATCGATATGTTTCTGAATTCCAATAACTTCTTATGTGTTGTGATAAGTCTGTAATGTATTAACAATGTTTTTGGAGCAATTTAAACTTGATCTACGGGAAATAAAATTGTTTACAAGACACTATTAGACGTTCAGATCAGCTAAAACAATCAATGCTTTATCTGCGAGAATTATAAATAAAATCAAAGTTTTAAATTCAAATCTCTTCATAAATAATTAAAAATATAATCGGCCCTTACAACTATCATTACATTTCATCCAACAATCAAGAAATTACTGAAGGCTAAACTGGCATCATTTACCGTGGAATTTGTTTGTTGAAGTAAACGTTTTCCTTGTTACCAATTGATGAACGGAATGTACAAGTTAATGAAGTTTCTACGGGTTTACGAGATTGTAACACTCTAAGGGTCAAAGGGAACGCACTATAAAATGCGAATTTTTCCATGATAACTCTAACAGCTTCCCCACTACTTCTCGCATTTGACCTTTAATTTTTTCAACCATTTAAAATTGATATTGGCACTGATACAGAAGTATTTTAAAAAGTGTAATAAATAAGTTTTAAAATATTTACAAAAGTAATTAATAAAATCATACTTTCGCAAGTGCCTGTTTTGACTGATATTCATTTCATGCTCCTCAGAACTCCAAGTACCAGGCACAGGGGCGGGAGATTTTGATTTCGAATTTTTACCTCGACCTTAATTCAGTACTCAAGGGTCACTCATGAAGACTCAGGTTTTAGATTTAATTTAAAAAAAAAGAGTAACGTTAATCTTTAAAATATGATCTTAGAATATATTAGCACGAATTCAATGTGCTTAAGTGTTTAAGCTAGAATGCAACACGTGAATGAAAAGTTTCTGATTTTGTATTAATGTTCATAACCATCTATCTCGAATCAATTCAATCAGAGCAGAAACAGAGCTGTTTGCTATTTCTATAAAATAATTTTGAATATTCATTTAACGTTCACTTTTTAATAGCTAAAAATCAGAAATATCACTATTGTTTTGTTAAATATAAAATTTATACAAAAATACATTGCATGAACGAAATAGATACTGTTGTGGAACTGTGAAGTTACTTAAATGATTTCATTCTTAAATGACTTAATTTAACAACAATCTCTTTAAACTTTCATTTCGGGTCATGTGAGTTCATAGCTTTGTTTATAAAAAAAAATTATTAGATTATATTCAGATTTGAAATTAAATTAATCAAAAAAAAGTATAAAAGTGAACATCAAAAATAATAATTAATAGTATTAAATAAAGATAAGGTGATAGTAAAATAAATTATTGCGTGCAAAGCCTTATCTCATTATTCTTTTTTTAAAAACGAAAACAACAAATTGTGATAGACTTTTGAAAATAAGCTCAAGCACATTGTTTGTATAGTATACAGTTGTTGACAGATTTTTAAAGTGAAAATAAAGATAAAAAATAAGTTTGCCTACAAAAATTAGTCAGTCACAAACGCAGCAATGTAGAATTTATACAGTTATAATACTGAAAAGAAAAAAAAGTTTGCTTAACTAAGAATTTTGAATTGAATGCATCAAAAATTAAATATTATCTTGTTTTAGCGCCAACTTTATTATATAAATGAAATGATAAGAAAATTAACACTGCCACATATGTAAAGATTAACTTCAAAATATCCAAACAATTTGATTTTAAATTGAAAGTTGCAAAAGTGCTGAAAGATTGAAAAAAAATTCGTAAAAAAATGCATGCAAAAAAAGCACTTTGAAGGATTTTCTATCCCTTCGCCTCTTCTGTTTTTTATCAACATTCAGTAATGTTCTGCATCAAATAGCATATGTTTTTAGGCTTCTTTAATGAATTTTACTCTTTCTTACAAGTATTACAATTTGAAAGTCACAAATGTTTTCAATCAAATCTGTCTGCATACTTTGTGATGAATTTTGGAAGCAAAGTTTTTCAGCAAAAGCAGCCTTGCTAATTAAATACAGTCAGTGAATGGCTCAGAAATAGTCAAAGTGAAAGATAGTTGAAAAATTTTGATTAATATCAGAAGGAAAGATTTGGTGCATTTATGAATAGAAATCAACAAAGTAATGCAAACATTCTTAAGGAATACAATTTATGTCTTTGTTATTATTTGCAAATATTTTAATTGATATTTACTGAACAAATTATTAATTTTTTTGCATTGTTTGAGGTGTTAATTGATTAAGCTGGAGGTATAATTAAGATTAAAAACTGAAATTTATTGAGTTTAGTAGCAAAAAAAAGCAGAACTTTATTTCTTGATAAGTGAAAATAGTATAAATGTGATGTGAAGTAGGAAATGAACCTGCCGGACTGAAGTGAGCAACAGCTTGATAGCATTCATTACTTTCAGATAGGTTGTCAGCTGATATGAGCATGGTCTGTAACAGAAAACCAAATAAAATCTACCTCAAAAAACAACTTATTTACAGTACATTTGTGGTCAATAAATTCACCGATCGTTTTGAAGAATTCTACGTTCAAAATGCAAATCGTAAAGATAATTAGCTAAATTTATGGCTAGAAAAAAAAGCTAAAACAAATTTGTCTACTTGCATCACAAATGCTATAATACAAACTGCTTATGTTTGAGTAGAAAATAGTATAGTTAAGGGAAATATTTGCGCTTATTATTACAAAATAGTGCGATGTTTTAAGAGAAATAATTTAGCTTTCTATCGCAAATTTAGCTTTCATTACTGTGTAACAGTTTGTTAGCTGATTTCTTTAGTTAAACATTTAATACTAAAAATTATATAATAAAATAAACAAACGTTATTTTTGCGTGAGCAATTCTGAGAATAAGGATGGTCTGTTGGAAATTTAGATTGGAACGGTATATGCATGGATTCTGGATTATATGAATCGTGCACCTGTACCTGTATCTGCATCTGCATCTCAATATTTGACATTTGGTTTGATCTTGCAAATGATTCTTCTTTTTCTTCTTTACGACATGTCATTAAGTTCTTTTCCGAATTGCTTATTTCTACTCAAACAGAAAATATAATAAAATGAATTTATATTTGAAACTTTTTTACACAGTACAATAATGATTATACTAATTAATAACCGTATTTTCTGACAGTAAATAGCCCCAAAGGAATGCTAATTTTTTTCTTTAATTAATAATATCCATTAGAATGTGTTAAACTGAATGGAACAAATTTGTACTACACCATGAAATACTGCAACTTTTCTCTGATATAAATTAAAAGACAGACCAATTTATCACTAGCTGAGGAATCTGACGCTGAGTAATATCTATCACTATGAATATCAGTGCCTTCAAAAAAAGCATACTTTTTTTAGATTATTATTTGTTCTTTCAGCAATTTTATTCTTTGCCTTCAGTGTGCTACAAGAAGCTTTCCTTACTTTCATTGCTCACTTCTGCATTCATTTTCCCTCCTCTCATCCTTTCGCTCTAATATTTGACTGTACTTTAAATACTTTCAAGTTATGAAAAAGTATACAAGTCTAGCATTTCCAAGCCTAAGTTAGAAAAATTTAATTTGTTGTTCTTGCGAAGGACCTAAAACCAAAAGATAAAGCTTAAACTAGTCTTCGCTATCAACTGAATTTGCGTGACACACTTGCTTTTATTTTAAAGTAATTTTGAAATTGAACAGTTAAGTAATAAGTATGTTGTGAATTTGAATCTACACGCACGTGAAGTATCATTTTGCTTCTGAAATCATTCAAAAATATTCATATTCACTTTTACTCTCTTTTTTGTGATATGTATTTTTTTCTGTAATTATAAATTTCAGTCAGTAATTGTAATATTTGCTATGAATAAATGTGTAAAGAGAATAATTGCATTTGAGATATGACATTAAGAAGAATCTTCGATAAACAATCTGTCTGAATTCATTTTAAACAGAACATTGCATAAATAAGTTGTTATTTATCTGAGACAGAAGCTGAAGATAATTATTCCAATTATTTATTACTGCTTAAGTTATTC